CTCAGTGAGATACTACTGCAGCACTTCACATTTATCGGATGGGCAACATTTCAAAATCAGAAACCAGAAGCATCAGAGGAGAATTGGGGAGTCTCATCAATTGCTAGAAGGCATGTAAATTGGCATAGGATCATTGGGAAGCAATTGCCTTCATGGTCTAAGCCACCTCCTTCTAAGAATGAATAAACTCAGTGCGCTTGTCTTCAGGATATGAATGGAGATGCTTCCTACAGCCTTTGTGTAACAGAAAACCTCGAACACAATCCACAGGTCAGACAGCATAGGGTGGGTGAGCAACAGGTGACATTCTTGTATCCATGCAATGTGACGTCCTGGGGGAGCCACACACCAATATGGAGAGATCTCAAAACATGGGGTTGCTGTTGTCACATAGCTGGTTAAACCATTGACTATCACGCTAGCATCCCATATGCACACGGATTTCTGGCTGCTCTGCTTCCAATTAAGTTCCCTGCCAGTGTGTCTGGAAAAGCAGTAGATGATGATCTACATGCTTGGGGCCACAACACCCACCTGGGTTTGAGACCTGGATGAAGCTCCTGGCTCCTTGCTTCAGCCTGACCCAACTCTAGCCATTGCAGCCATTTAGGGAGTTAGCCAATGGATGGAAAAGCTCTGCTTCTGCCTCTCCACCCCCCCTCTCTATAACTCTCCCTTTTAAATAAATAAATAAACACATCTTTGAAAAAAAAAACAACACAAGATTTGGGGTAAGCAACAACAGGAGAATAACACATCATGGTGTCACTTACTTGCTTTTTAAGAAACACACAAAGCAAAGCACATAACACTGTGTGCCTGCACACACAGAGAGCAGGCATCTGGCACAACAGGCAGGACGCTGCTTGGAACATCTGCATTCTATATCCGAGTGTCAGGGTTTGAATCCCGGCCTGCTTCTTGATTCCAGCCCCTTCTCATGTGGACCCTGGGAAGCAGCAGAAGATTGCCCACATTCCTGGGTCCCTGACACCCATGTGGGAGAACTGGATGGAGTTCTAGCCTCTTGACTTTGGCTTGGCCAAGCCCTGGCTGTTGCAGCCATTTGCGGAGTGATCTAGCAGATGAAAGACCTCTGTGTCGCTGCCTTTCAAATACAATGAAGTAAATGAACTTTAAAGTGTGAAAAAAGGAGTGGAGTGGATATGCACGGACTTGGCTTCCTTAGGGAAACAAAGGGTAGAGTCTGGACAGGGATGTAAAAGGGAACGGAATGTCTTAATTTATCAAGATGACCACCTGCAATGTGCCTGATATTTTTCCAGATCCTGAGCACACAGCAGGGAGCAAAGCAGAACCAAATCTGCTCACATTTTGGAGAAGAAATCAAGTTGGACAAACAAAACATTCAGTGTGGTTGGTGGTAATATATGCCAAGGAGGAAAGGCAGACAAAAAGGTATGTGGGAGTCCTCAAGGGAGGAGAGAGAAACTGCTGAGCAACATCTCAGGAAAGATCATTTAGAGACACGCAAAGGCCCTGGCGCTGAAATACACCTGCCTGGTGAGTGCGTGTGGTACAGAGGCAGGGAAGCTGGGGTGGAGTGAGGCTGGAGAGAGCAGAAGAGACAAAAGCAGAAAGGTAACAGGGGCTAACCTGGGGTGAACACAAGCTTTGTTGTTTACTCAATGAGACAGAAGCTTCTAAAAGTTCTGGAGAAGAACAGTAGCAGGAAGTAACTCTTATTTTATTGGATCACTCTGAGTGTTACGTGGCCCACAGAGGGTAGTGGGCAGGGAAAGAGGACATAGAGAGATGTAGCGACAGCGTTGGAGTTCACAGCGAGGCCCAGGCTAGGAGTCACTGGTCCAGGTGGTGTTTAAAGCCAGGAGCCTGTTAATTTTTTTTATTTCTCATAATTACAAGAGCTGAAGCTAATATGACAATGTTGACACCTGTCAATTCCGGGTGATAAGTAGAGTGGTGTTTCGAATACTATTCTTTGTATTTTATAGTATGCTTGAACATTTTTTTCTAATAAAAATTAATTAAGAAACAGTTTACAAAAGTTCCAAGCTGTTTAACAATTCAGTTGTGAGTGCCTCAGATCTAAAGCGTGTGGCAAGTTCAAGTGCCCCAGCCACTGGCCTGAGCTCCATGACCAGAACTTGGCCCCATCTCTCTGGGAACCTGCTTCCTCATCTGGCCAGCAAGCAGCTGACCTGTGGCTTCTCAGGGCTCTTCCTGATGTGGCCATCCAGGGCTCCTGTGTGCTCTGATTTTTGTCCCCAATGTGTTGTGACCCAGAAATAATCCCATACCTCTTCTGTAAGGTGAAGTCACTTTTGCTTCCAAACAGATGTCAACTGCAGCAAGAAGAGTCATGGGGGAAAATGGCCCCTCAGTCCCTGGGTCCTGAGATCCAGAAGAAATGAGGCTAAACTTGAGGCTGCAACACAGCAAGTCATTTTCTGCAGGTGATGCCGGCATCCCATATGGGTGTTGGTTCTAGTTCCAGCTGCTTCGGCGCCCATCCGGCTCCTTGCTTATGCCCTGGGAAAGAAGTGGAGGAAAGTACAAGTCCTTGGGACCCAGAAAAACCTCTTGGCTGTTGTGGTCACTTCGGGAGTAACTGAGCTGATGGAAGATCTCTTTCTGTCTCTCCCTCTCTCTATAAAAATGGCTTTCAAATAAAAAGAAACATCTTTTAAAAATAATAATAAATAAGCAAATCTTAGGGGAAAAAAAAGAAAATTGGACTAAACTTACAGCCCCAACTATGAAACCCTGTCCAATCCCCCATCTTTGCTGTTGAATGAACCCTGCCTAAGATCTCAGGATCAATTGATCTAAGGACCTGAAAACTACAATGGGGGACTTTTGGGGAGAGGGTAGTGGCTGAACTCAGTTGCATTAGGCCCAGGTTGTAATCAACACATGAATAACTATCATGTGGAATAGCAAACCAGTCACATTGGATTCTGAATCAAATGCTGGATGGATATACATTCTCTCACTTAACCCTCATAGCAACCACATGGCAGACTCATGGTTTGCCTGACCCAGGTCTTGCTGATGGGGAAGCTGAGATTCAGAGAGGGCAAGCACCATCCCAGGCCCTGCAGCTGCAGGTGAGCAGAGCTGGGGTCAGGACCCAGAGCATGTGACCCCAGCTCACCAGCTCTCCAAGTCTCTTCTACAGGAGTCAAAGGAAACCACCAAATGGCACAATGCTGGTTGAGCCATTTGTTCATTTATTGAGTACCTACTGTGTGCCTGGCCACAGAGAAGTGGAGATGACTACATGGACAGCCTCTACTTTTGAGAAGCCTGTGATTTGGAGACGTAGATTAATCAGCCAGCGTAGGCCCCAGCATGCTTCTGGGAAGTGGCAAATGTCCTATATAGAGAAGTGGGGATCCCATGAGCAGTTGGAGAATCAGGGAAAGGGACATTTCTCTGTGATCATTGCATGGTTAAACTCCCATTTCTAGGCCATGAGTTCTAGAAATTTCTTTCTAGAAACTGCTAGGACGTGCAGGCCCAGCAAGATGAAACTGGTCTCTGAGAGTAGCCACTCCCGGTCTTTTTCACCACGTGCTCTGTATTCATTCACTGTGGCTCCTGGTACCCAGCTCTTGGAAGTGATGAAGGAATGGATGCCTCCTGTCCAGTTGTAAACGCCCTTCAGGCAGGGAGCATCTTTACATTACAACATTATATGCCCCAATCCCTCCGTGGAGCTTGCTATGGTGCCCTTCTGATAACCATGGAGCTGGAGTTCTTTCACATGAGGGGCCCCATGGGTCAGGCTGAGGCCTAGGTGGTCCTGATGGATGCATGGTGAGATTCATGCTAAGCCCAGAGTTAGAAGGCACTGCCCCACTGGCCATGCCCGATCTCACTTTTTGCCTTAATGAATGGCAACAGCATTTTTCAGCAGAGCGCCTCAGGGTGGCTACATGCAGAGGACTCATGCTTTTGTCCATTCATTACTTATTCATTCATTTGCTTGCTCACATACTCACATCACTCATCTGATGCTTGCCTGCCTTCCTTCCAAACCCAGCAGACACCTTGCAGAACACTGGGCAATTATCCAAGCGCTTCAGACACTGGTCTTTCCCCTGAGAGCTCCCAGATTGGGGCAAGGGAAGTATGAAAACACGAAGAATCACCCAGCACAAAAAGTGGCAAACATCATGAGAAATGTACCAACCCAGAGAGGGAGCCCAAAGACAATTTCCTAGAGGAAGTGTCAACAGCAACAGCAGCTCCAGGCTTTCTATGGCAGGAGTGGGAGTAAAGATGGCAGCTTTGGATGGGGAGCACTGTGAGGGTGGGTCTAAAGTTGCATCACGGAACACTTTGCTAAGGCTGAGTAGCAATCCACTGCCTACATCAGAGCATGGGGTTGGTATGGAGACTGAGGGTGACTGTCTCCCAAGACTTCTCCTCATGTGGTGTAGAAATGGGTGCATACCTCTGATTTTCTAACTTCTCATCTTGGGGAAAAGTGCTAGTAGGGGAGGTTCTTGGTAGTAGAAGCCCATGGTAAGGGCTTTTGCCATCTACCAGGGGAAAGGGAAAGAGGGTCTGGCCCCAGGCTGGTGCAAGCCCTACGCAGGAGGAGGATGCAGAAACGGCAGATGGGTAGTATGCCATTTACCTGGAGACTGATTGGACACAGCTGCCCATCTGAGCATAGTGAATGGCATTTGAGCCTGAACCTGGCTCTCTGGCACCTGGGCAAGTGGGGAGATGGGATGGGAGCAGCCACCTGTGCCCTTTGTGAAAAGCACCTCAATGACTGTATGGCCTGGCCTCTCTGCCCTCTTTCTGCCAGCTCTCCCCAACCCCCAGCCTGCAGCGTCTGGCTGGGCCGTGTGCAGGGCGTCTGGCCCCAGGGAGAGGTGGGGTGAGCCGCAGTTCACACCTACATGGCTATAAATAGGGAGCCTCCAGCAGCTGCTGCTCAGCCTCCCTGCCCCAGCCAAGACAACACCAGAGCCACTTGCTCACTTCCTTGCACTTGGACCATGGACCCTGGAGAATGCACCTGCATGTCTGGTAAGTAAGCAGTTTCCTGGAATTTTCAACTTGGCAGCAGCTTCCTGCAGGTAACCTGCAGGACGCGGATCAAAGTTTTTGCTTTGTTGGTATTGACATCCAAGCTCAGAGAATCTGATAACTTTGGTCTGGCCTCAGGCCCCTGGGGGCAGCCAGCAGGGTGGGCAGCAAAGTAGTACTCCGAATCTGGCTAGCGTTTGGGTCCATCTATGCTGCTCACTCACTAACACTTTATTTCTGTTCCTCAGTGTCCTCAGCTTTGAAGTCTCAGGGCTGCTGTGAAGCTGCTAATTTCCACCTGCAGAAGGCAGGGGAGTTGTTAGAGGTGCATGGGCACTCTTGTACCCTGCAATTTGAAACTGCTTAATTCCAGGGAAGGATGTTGACCGGAGGGACAGAGGACAGGTTCTCAGCCATCCCAGACCCTCCCAGCCTTAGGAAGTGGTAGTGAGAAGTCTCACAAGCCTCCTTCATTTGCAAACTTGTGTTTGCAAATGAGACAAATGCTCCCTATGTTTTGAAACTTACAATGATAGGACAGCTTTTGTTTTGTTTTGTTTTTAATAAGGTGTAGACAGATAGTCTGTGTGATAAGAAACCAAGCTGTGGCTCTCCCTTTGGGCTTGTGTGTGCCCTTGCCCTTCTGCATTCTCATTCTTGGTGTGCATCTTACCTTGTGAAGGTGAGGAGGGGTCTCCAAGGCTCTATAGCTGCCAGGGAGACCGTGAACCTGCCCCACCGCTCCTGGTGCTGATTGGCCATCACAGACATCTGGGTTGTTTTAGAAAATACTGACTCCTTTTCCCCATCCAGTCTTGTGAATCAAACTATGCATCAAGGGTTGGGTACAGAATCTGCATGTGGCTGTTTTCCAGCCAATAGTGATGCAGTCGTGCCAGGTTCCAATAGGCCTGGGATGCTTGCCACTGCAGCCATGCAGTCCAGGAACTATGTGGCTGGGACAGTCCACACTAGTCTGTGTGTTCCCCACACCTTCTCTGTCCTGTCCTCATGTTTGGGATGGCTCTGTTCTCTCTTCCAGGAGGAATCTGCATCTGTGGAGACAACTGCAAATGCACAACTTGTAGCTGTAAAACATGTCGGAAAAGTGAGTACAGTGACGGGGCACCGCTGGCCAGAAGAGAGATCTGATGCCCCAGCTTCTGCCCACCAGCCAAGGTGGCATGAGCTCCAGAGGCTGTTGAATTTTTGGAAAGAGCCCAGCAAAGACTGGGAACAGAGCTCCTCAGGGTTGCATTCCCCTGGGGCTGTGGGTATGCTTTTGTGGTTTGGAACTGGGAAGGGAAGTTCTGGCCTCCCCAATAGACCTGGAACCCTGGACTGGAGTCAGGAACCCTGAGTTCTAGTCTTTGATCTGCCACTGTCCAGTAACCTTAATAAATCCCTTCTCTCCTTGGGCTTCTAATGCACCCTGGAGGTCCCCTGGACTGCCTGCCAGCTCCTACATCACTGGACTTCCCAGGCCAGATTCTCTACTAAAATCTCAGGCCTACACTCTTGCTAAGTGGTGGTGGTAGGGGCAATGGTAAGCGCTGATGTGTCTGCTTCCTGACCCTTCCAGGCTGCTGTCCCTGCTGCCCGCCAGGCTGTGCCAAGTGTGCCCGGGGATGCATCTGCAAAGGGGGCTCCGACAAGTGCAGCTGCTGTGCCTGAGATGCCTCCACTGTGCTGGGAGAGAGGCCTGCAAACCATCTGTACAGTGTGCAAAAGTTGAAAATTGGAGTGATTGTACCATAGGTTGTACTTTTTATATATTTGCCCCCAAGTGGTGTTGGTGACAGTCATATGAAGTGTTTGCCACAATAAAGTTTTCACTGGTGATTGTGTGGAGCCTCAGAGCATTGTTTTACCCTAATGCAGGAGGACACAGAGGCGCTGATTCTGTCGCAGATCCTGTAGCTGCCCAACCAAGCCCCTCCTGCTTTTGGCTTCATCCCACAGGACCCTGAGAAGGTGTGCCCAAGGCTTTCTCCTGTTGCAAGAGCAAGCCTAACCCATGTGTCAGGCTGGCCAGGAGGACTGGGGATTTAACACCCCTAGGAAGAGTGCTTGGCCTGTGGTAAATGGGAATTGGAGGATAAATATCCCCACATCTTCACCCCTTAATGGGGGCAAGTCAGAGACCTCTTGTCCTTTCTCTCCTAAAAGTATGCAGCAGCAGCACCTGCAGCAGGTGCAACCTTTTTAACAAGCTCAGACTAGTGGAGATGGCACTATGACATAGTGGGTAAAGCCATAGCTGGTAGTGCTGGCATCTCATATGGGTGATAGTTCAAGTCGCAGCTCTCCCACTCCTGATCTAGCTCCCTTCTAATGCACCTGGGAAAGCAGTGAGGGATGGCCCAAGTCCTTGGGCCCCTGCATCCATGTGGGAAACCTGGAAGAAGTGCTTGGCTCCTGGTTTTGGATAGGTTCAGCTCCAGCCATTGCAGCCACTTGAGGAGTGAGCCAGGTGATGGAAAATGTCTTTTTTTTCTCTCCCTAGCTCTATATTTCAAATAAAAATAAAATAAATCTTTTTTTAAAAGCTCAGACTGACTTCCTCCCATCTCTGCGTCCCTTTCCTAACTTCTCACCAGTGCTTTCTTGGAACCCCATTTTAAAAACTAGATGTACAGGTCTACTTTGTGGTAACCCAATCTTTGCCAGGTTTTCCTGGTATGATGTTGGTCCAGAATGCCTCCTTGTGCAAATGCAGCTATCTGCTCCATAGGAGCTCTGAATCAGAAAGGAGCAGAGCCTGGGTGAATCCAAGGAAAATCCCTAAGACTAAGGCATGGATGGATGTTAGCTGCTCCAGTTTGGGCCAGTTATTTGGGCCAACTTTCTGGACTAGGTGACCAGGGAAGCCAGGAACCAAGACAGAGAATCTGGCAGAGGTACAAACAGGTCCTGAGTAGACTATTATGGAACAACTTCCTTGATGGATGCGGACAAGGTCTAAGTCCCTGGAGCTGCACCGGGGGAGGGCAGGTCCCTGCCTCTTGCTCAGACCCCGGCACTCATCAGAGCAGAAGACACACCCAAGCTCTGAGAAGGTGCTCACTGTTGCAGCCAGCGGCCGGAGCCTGCGGCAGGGGCCTGAACAGCCTGCTTCCTCTGGTGTTTCGTTGTCGAGTAATCTTCAGGTACAGGCGTGGGAAGTCACAGGGAAGCTCCATGCTGTCCCGCAGGGCTGGGCTTGGCTGGCAAAAGGAGAAGCAGGATTAACTGCATACACTTTCAAAATCCACACTGTCACTGTCCCTGTTTTGGAAGTCAGGGGTGTCCCTGGGGAGGTTTTTACTTTCCCTCCACAAATTATACGTTAGACTCAGCATCATCGGGCAAAGGAAAGCGCTTTGGCCTTTTGAGTCAGACCCTCCACATTTCCCTGGCTGTGTGACCAGGTCATTTAACTGCTGGAGGTGAAGCTTTCTCATCTGTGAGATGTAGGAAGAAGCTATAGCTCTGCTTCTTCCATGTAAGTAGTAGGCACCCCAAACAACTTCATTGAATATGCACCAAGCAATGTGCTAAGCAGTTTATGAACATTTCCCCCACGGAATCTGCACTGTCAGGGCTACTTTATAGTCAGACAGCCAGGGCTCAGCTCAGGGTCTGTAATGTAAATCATCCTCCTCCCTGCCAGTGAACAGTCCACAGGAACATGTCCACCTGTAACTCATACCCATCCCTGCCCATGTCCCACTTCTCATGCTTTGTAAACCTGGGAGCCAAGAGCCCAATGTCCCAGAACTTGCCCTTCCTGAATGAGGACCCTGAAAACAGTCTATAATTGCTAGGCCTGAGGACAGCCAAGAGCAGCCGTGTTCAGCATGGGGGAAGTGTGGGAGGAATCGGACACAGCAATTCCAGTGTCTCCAGAGGGCGGCACCAGCCAGGGTAGGCAGAGAAGGGGATGAACTACAACTAGTGTTCCATGTTTGCTGATGTTGGAGCTAGGCCTGCACCATCACCCTAAAAAGCTAGGTATACTCCAAAGCCACCTGCTGTGAAGAACCATGCTGAGTTTAAAATAGGACTTAAAACCTGGATGCACCAGCTGACGGGGATAATGACAGCTTGAGTTCTGAACATTTCAGTACCAGGAAGCACTCAGTTGATCATCCTTCTTGATTTGACAATTGAACTCAAGCTCCACAGGCCCGTAAGGGGCTACCCTGTGACCTTGGAGAGGGACTCCACTTGTACCCATTCCTGTATCCCTTGGTTGTTTGATCAGTGGAGGATAGGGCTGCCCCTGACTCCTGACTTTACAGATAAAGAAGCTGAAGTTGTCTTGATCAGAATCATGTAGCTTCTAAAATATAGGTCTGGGGCTTGATTTCTGGTCTGCCTGTAACAGAGCTAATCCTTTTCCTTTTTTTTTTTTAAGCTTAAAAAAGTTATAGAGAGGAGACAGAGAATGGCCTTCCACCCATTGGTTCTCTCCCGAAATGTCTGGTCTGAAGCCAGGAGCTTCTTTACGGGTCTCCCACATGGGTGGAGGAACACAAAGTCTTGAGCCATCCTCTGATTGGAAGTAGAACAGCCATGACATGAACTGTCACATTAGAATGCTGACTTCACAGGCAGAGGATTAGCTTGCTGCACCAATGTGCCAGCACTCAGGGGGCTAACTCTTGCCTATGATATTTGCTTGACACCAACAAGAGGAAGGAAGGCATAAACAGCCCCAGGCCCAAAAGCCAATGGATATCATGTTTCAAGAGAGCCCACCTGTCAAAGATATACAAAATATAAATTCATTAAAGAATACTTGGGATCGGGCCCGGCACGGTGGCGCAAGTGGTTAAAGGTCCTTGCCTTGCACGCCCGGGATCCCATATGGGCACCGGTTCTAATCCCGGCAGCCCTGCTTCCCTTCCAGCTCCCTGCCTGTGGCCCGGGAAAGCAGTCGAGGATGGCCCAAAGCTTTGGGACCCTGCACCCGCGTGGGAGACCCGGAAGAGGCTCCTGGCTTCGGACCTGCATAGCATCGGCCGTTGCGCTCACTTGGGGAGTGAATCATCGGACGGAAGATCTTCCTCTCTGTCTCTCCTCTCTATGTCCGCCTTTCCAATGAAAAAATAATAAAAATAAATCTTTAAAAAAAAAAAAAAAAAAGAATACTTGGGATCCCCTGTAGCTCAGGAGCTGGGATTTGTCTGGTTTCGTGATGAAGGAATCCTCAATACCTATTCTTTTTGCCAACCCTGCTCAGGCCCCCAGGGACTCACATATGCCTCCCTTTGCTTCTGTCCTCACAATAAAAAAGGACTGTATTTGAAAACCAAGAGGTGTCACAAAATATCCTGGTGTCAGAGACAGACAATTTTCAAAGTGCAGAAAAGATCTGAGTGGTAGGAATGAAAACACACACACACACACACACACACACACACACACACAAATTAATGGCTAAAGTCCCAAGTGGCTAAATTCCTCGATAGTATCTGCTGGGATCCCATGGGGTGCTGATTTGTGTCCCAACTGCTCCACTTCCCATCCAGCTCCCTGTGTGTGGCCTGAAAAAGCAGTCAAGGATGGCCCAAGGTCTTGGGACTCCACACCTGCAAAGGAGACCTGAAAGAAGTTCCTAGTTTCAGATCGGCTGAGCTCCAGCTGTTGCAGCCACTTGGGGAGTGAATCAGTGGATGGGAGATTTTTCTCTCTGTCTCTTCTTCTCTCTGTAAATCTCACTTTTCAATAAAAACAAATAAGTCTTAAAAAAATACAAACTAACATCAGATCCTATTTTTCAAGAAGCATGAATGCAATAGATCCTCATGGATGCGTCAGCAGCATAATGCAGCTTTTTTTTCCTTTTAATTGTGCTCCAGTTTGTATTTCTAGAAGTTGCACAAGGCAATGGGGAGTATTTTGTAATGTTAAGCAATTGATGTTACTCATATAAATGCACATTATTCTTAAATATGTGTGTGGGTGTGTATGCTATAGATTGAATGTTTGTATGCCCCTTCAATCAGATATATTTTTAAAGATTTAATTATTTTATTTCCAGGGCTCCCACATTGGTGGTAGGGGTTTGAACACATTAACAGGGAGCTGGACCAGCCAGGACAGGAACCAGTGTTCAGATATAGGATGCCAGCATTGTAGGCAGGGGGTTGATTTGCTGCATCACAATGCTGGCCCCCATATTGCATATTTTTTTTAAGCCTAAATTCCCAGTGAGTTGGGGCCTTTGGCAATTAGGTCACCTGGGTGGAGTTCTCAGGAATGGGGTTAGCGACTTTACAAGCAGAGACACCAGAGCTAGCTCTGTCTCTCCCACCGCCATGCAGAGATGCAACTGGAGAACACTCGTCTGCAAATAGGCCTCCCCAGCCAGTACCTGTGGGCGCCTTGCTCACAGACTTGCCAGCCTTCAGGGCTCTAGGAAAAGCATGGCTATTGCTACAGCCACCCAAAGTCTGTTACAGAGGGCTGAACTAAGATGGAAAGACAGGTAGACAGACACTCAGAGACGTTTCTTTTTGTAAGTGTTGAACCGGATGAATGTTGGAATCTAGAACAATGATTCAACTATTTTTGTGAACATGCTTAATACATTGTAAGACGCGAAGCAGCATACCTTCTTTCTTTAATCCTTTTTAACTTTCTATCATGTTTTCTCCTTTAGGATTCCTGCTAATGGTGATCAACTTTCCTGGACCAATCCTCTATATGTCTCCTAAGACTTTCTTACGCAAAGCGTCTGCAAAAACCCTTTAATGTGGATTACACCAAAATAAACTTTTACTTGCTATGATTCCACAAAACTTCAGAAGTATTCTCATATTATTCCTCTCTTTCTTTCTGTCTCTG